CATAAAAGCAAGGAGCTACGTTCTTTTAAACGAAGGAGACGAAAATTTTAGCTTTTAAAATAAATGAATTAGAAAATTTTACGATACAACTTTCTCAAAATGGCAATCTGTGGCCAAGCGAAAAAGGAGGCTTTTTTATTAAGGGAAAAATTAGTGGTTATATTTTGCAATTAAAATGAAAGTTTTGCCATAGAAGTAGTGAAATTATCTCTAATCATGATACATTTAGGCATAAAAGAGAGTGACCAGTTGTACGCAAAGAAAAGAGAAATATTGGCCTGTTAAAAGAAAGAACAAAGATTTTAATAATTGAAGTTTCTTGAAATGGTAACTTGTGCAAGAAAATATATTATTTGTGCGTTGGAAATTCTGGAGAAGTGGTGAAATACCAGTAAAACATGAGTATATTGCATATGTAGCTCTTGTGAAACGGTAAGCTTTTGGATCCACCTAACAATTTCTGGTTGTCGCACTGGCTCATTATCAAGTTTCAAGCCCCTAATTCAATATGCAAAATGTACACTATATATAGGTAGATATTACTGTAGCATTATTATGGACGTTCAGTTTTTTGTCATTGTTTGATTATTTTTCACATTAGGATGCTAAAAATTTAACCGTGAGGATTTGTTCTAGATATAGTTTATGCTCTGGATTGTGCAATAACACTATTGATCATAGTTCTGGGCTGGTGGCATTGTGTGGCTATCCATGGGAATTATATTCTTGGTCTGATTAACAGTTTTAATTAAAAGTGATGTACGAAAGATAAGGTTCTTCTGTTGGTGTCATGCTACCAGTTTTTTCCCATTATTTGATCAACTTTAGATAAGTTGCACTACTGCAATGACAAACATAAGGGGGGAGGGATGGGGTTGAAGCATAATGCTGTATTTTTGTGTCCTTTGTTTTGCTCATGACCTTTGTGTCAAAGGTTTCTAGAAGGTACTGCACTAAAAAAATGTGATTCTGTTGAAATTGCCTGTTGAAAGTAAATAGCTTGTTTTTTTCCGATGCCATGATGGTGTCGACAAAGCTTCATAATACAAATGCTTATCCTTAAGATATAACTGATACTACATAAAGGTAATTCTGTTGAAATTAAATAGGATAGTTTTGTAATACATTGAAGTATGGGCTTGTGCTCATCTTCAGAAGTTTGCATGTTTCTTTTTCTTGAGCTATACCATTTATACTTAATAATGAAAGTCTTTTCATTACCCAAAAAAGAATATGATGTTCTTGTGCACATAATTGGTACATATTGTATTGTTTTGTAGAATGAGTATCATTGTATTGGTACATAAAGCATTTTTTGTGGTTGAATCACTATTTTTTATTATGAATATCATTTGGAAGGTTACAAATATTTGTTGAAGTAGGTTCAGTGAAAGGAAAATTATAAGCACATGAAAGTTTGTACTTTAATTGTCTATGGATATTTGTGGATATAACAAATTTTATTATGTACCTTATATTGCTTTTGTTTAGCAGGTATAATGTACTTAAACAGTGGTGTCGTTCAAGGATGGTATCGACCAAGGAGCAGCTACGAGGCACTTAATATTTTGTTTATTTTGGGGTCAAATGTATATGCGTACAATGGCAATGCACAATGAAGTTTTGTGTAATATTTATGTAATTGATTTTTAGTAATGAAAAATATTTATAATATTCGGCTTAAGAAATTCTTTTGGTGTTTGTTAAATATTATAGGAAGCTTTTAATATTGGTAGGCAATTGACTATATTAAATTTTGTGAAAATTAGGTTGCTACGGGAAATATATATAATTTGCTTATTATAGTTGCTGAGAAATATGTTATAGCGGCAACATAAGTTTGTCACAGAAAATCAGTAATTGTTGCGATTGGAAAGTTGCCACAGTTGGTTAAATGTTTTGGTGACAACTTCAGTCGCTGCAAATAAGAATTTTCTTTCTCATGGTTTAATATTTGTGGCGACATAAGTCGCTGCTAAAGGTTATTTACAGTGGTGATACTTTTGTGGCGACCTTTGTCGCCACTAAAGGTAATATATGCAGTGGCGACCACCTAATATTTATTGTTGTGAAATTATTTTTTGTAGCAGATTATTCCAACCGTTTGTGGCAACTATGTCGCCACTAAAAATTTATTTTTTAGCAGCGACTTCGTTTATCGCCACAGATAACATTTAGTTACGGTTGCACTTGCAGTAACGCCATGGTCGCCACTGATAACCTCTAGCGACGACAATTAGGGAGTTTGTAGCGACTTTGGTCGCCACTAAAAGGTTAATTTCTTGTAGTGTAGTTTAGGACCCAAATCATGAAATACTTGTAATGTTACTCTACTTGTTAATTAAATTGCCTAATTTATATTGGAACTTGATAAAGAAATTGTAAAAGACCGAATTTCACTTACTTGAGTTTTGGCTGATTACTTGACCGCTAATAGAAATTGTGCTTCGTTGTGTATTAGCCTTATAATAACTTTTAAATCGGATGTTCATAAAGTATTCTCTCTTCTTGTGGAGAGGAACGAGCGCATCGGTAGTAGAATAGATGCATATATGGTTCGTGCCGCACGATCCTCGACAGTGTACACGTTATTCTGGATCAGACCGTGCGACCTCGACATCAATCGTGCTTAATAATACTCGGAGCCTAACTATACTTGATATTGTTTTATGGCTTGTGAAATTTTGATTACTAATGACGGAATTGACTTGAAATTACCAAATGCGAAAGAATTATTCATCCCCTCTTGTTATTGAGATGTTATTATTATTTACATAATCTATGCTTATTTAGAATTTTTGTATTATTATTGTTAGCCCATAGTAAGTGTCGATGTCGACCCCTCGTTATTGCTTCTTCACAGTTAGACTAGATACTTAATGGGTACATGTTGTTTATGTACTCACGCTACACTTCTGCACTAACCGTACAGGATCTGGAGTAGGTACATCTAGCGGTCATACCGGCGCGTGTCCCAGATATCCTGAGGCCTAGTCCTAATATGTTCTGCAGCCTCTAGAGTTTCTCTTTTGTATTTATATTTTCTCTACTTTATTTCAGACAGTAATTAGAGTTTTGTATATTCTACTAATTGCGCATACATTTGTGACACCAGGTCTTAATACACACACTAGTAGACTTTATGGTTTTGGAGTACTTATATCACTAAGATTGCCACTAAGTTGTCTTCATTTCATTTATTGAATTTTCTACTCCTTAATTTGTTATTAAATAGAATTTAATTATTTGAAAACTTATTAAAATAGAAATAACATGGTTTAATTCACTGTTGGCTTGCCTAGCGGTAACGTTGGGCGCCATGATGACCCATTGTAGAAATCGGGTCGTGACATGCAATACCTGAAGTTTGAAGATTATACTTAATAATACAAATTTGAAATTACTCTTTTTTCTTTAATTTAGTTGTTGTAAAATGTAAACTTTATTTTTTTTTCATGTTCATTCTATTATCTTAAATTCATAATGAAATATTCAAATACAAAGTTTTAGCCTTTAATGTTTTTATTCAAAATTTCAGATATAAGGCTTTTAAAGCCTTTGAAATTTATTCAAACATTCTTTTTATACATTAATTTTTAGCGTTTTATATTTTTACTTTATCTAACTATAAATTATGATTGTTATACAAAATACAACAAAAAATTAAATAAAATCGACCTAGCTCATTGGACTCGGAACCGTTCCGGTTCAATTTAGCGCCGACTATACTCGGAATCGATAAACCCAGTAAATTCTAACAGTAACCAGACCGGTACCGAGACCGGCCTGTCCCCTTTTCCTCTAGCCCGGCCGTGCCCCGGTCCTTAACACCCAAATGTTGGAGTACATGTTTGAGGATATATGGAAAGAAACTAGAACATTTGTCAATTTCTTATCATGGGAAGCACGTAAATCACACAAAAATTTATTTGATAATAATTTATATGTTCAAATGGACTTATTACAAGAGTTGGTGACGTTTGACTATATAATTTGGATTAACTTTCACTTAATAAATGGACGAATCTATCATATTGACCTAATCCAGATTTAAATAATTGATCCACACGTCTTCAATAAGTTCAGAGATACTAAAAATGAAAATAATGCCCGAAGGTCAAGAATAAATTTGCAAAAATGTACACATTAGTCAAAGTTGCAGTTGTAGCTTTGTTAATTTACAGATAAATTATAGATATACTATATAGTACATTTACTCGTTCCACCCTCTTCAGTTCTTCACATTTTGCATTAGTAACTTCTATTTTTAAGACTTTGACTTCCAGCTGCAAGGAAAATATTACTACGTTATCTTACACTCATTGAAAATTAACCTAAAGGAATTGAACCCCTATTAATTTTACAAGAAATAGATCGTATTTGTACGCAATTACGATTAAGCCTAGTTTTTTTTTTTTTTTTTTTGTCATCACATTGGTGGATAATTAATACAATAATGAGTTAGTAAAGACCTTGTTTTAAACTTCATTAGTTGCATGACTTTACTTCTAAAGTCTTCAGAGAAACAAACCATGAAATAATTTCTTAAACAAAGTGATTCCTTTGTCTTGTAACTTTAATAAAATTGACTTATCTAACCATAAAACATGAAAACAATAAAACCACGTAAGTTTAATCACTACTAAAAAATTGAAATTACCTATGAACTTTGTAGTTAATCTGTCGCTAAATTGCTCGTAGCTAGCATAATTTTTTGATAATGTCTCTAATCCGTCGCTAAGTAGGATTAGCAACGAATTTTGCTGTTTAGCATGCTACAGAATTTGTCCGTCGCTAAATCCTATTTTTTAATAGTGAATGATTGAGTCATTAAAATATATTACCAATGCAAAATTGAAATTGAAAATTTCTCCTACCTTGCAACTGCTACAATTAGAGTTGAAATCACTACACCATAAAATAAAAAGAAAAAAAAACAATATTTATATACTCCTACACGTTCAAGACTCTCCATTTCTTTAAACCATTCCTTTAATTTCTTCCCCATCTCCTTCTCCTCCAACTTGAAATATTCAATATCATTTTTTGTCAAAAATGGTTCGTCCAATGCCAAGAATTAATGGTGAAAATTTATGTATTTCCATGCCATTAACAATTGGTTTATTTCTTTCAATATTAGCTCTTGTAACACTATGTGCTAAACATGGAAGAAAATCTTCAACAAAATCCATGTCTACTGAAAAAACCAAAACTAATGAATCCAAAATAGTTCCAAAGTTGTCATCACTGCGAATTCCTAACAAGAACAATAATAGTTCCGGCGAAGAATCCGACGGAGACGTGGCCGGAGAAGTGGTCGGAGAAGTTGGCCATGGGTTGTGGCAAAAGGCAATAATGATGGGTGAAAAATGCCAGCCACCGGAATTTTCAGGTGTAATATACTATGATCCTTTTGGAAATAGGGTTTCTGAACTTCCAAGATCACCAAGAGCCAGTCCTATGCCAAGATACGCTTCCGAACGCCAATACGGTTAACCAAAATGTTAATTAATCGATTACGATAAATTGGATCAGATTTTGCTGTTTTTTTTTCCTGTAGTACCTCCACGTGTAGGTTTCAGCTACCGAATACCTAAAAAAACTTGTTGATTAGCTTTATTTGTAGAAAATTTTGATTTCTCTATAGTGCGCTTTTTTTTTTGGTGTTTTATTGGCATGATGTTCAACCTTTTTGAATTACAAAATGTATGTTGCGCCTATGAGTTATTGTATTTTTGGACCATGTAGTATATATACTTAGTGTATTTGGATGATATATGCACCACTAATGAGTTTTGTTATTTTGAAGCACTTTTGTGTAATTTTTCTTGTTCAAGAGACATAAAGCAAGAACAATTTTCTTTTAAGAATTAAAGGCTCTTTCTTCTCTTTTTCCTTTTTTCTTTTCTTTAATTCCATACTATATTGATCACTTTAGATCGACTTTGAGTTTACAACCTATTGAGATATAACTGTGTATTTAATTTTTCCTTCTTTGTATCTTTTGTAATCATAGTTTAACTAGCTTAGTTTGTTAATCATAGTTAGTTGATAGGACGATCTGAGATGTGTTCTTCGTTTTGACCCAATTTTCAATCGATCCACACAGTGTGAGCTTCGCCTCCTCTTCAATTTCACTTTTCCAAGTTTTCTCCCTCTTCCTCTACTTTGTATTTCTTGAATTTCTTAATATGGCTATTGTCGATCAAATGATGTAAATGATAATACTGCAAATGTCGAAAATATTGAAGCTACTATCAATTCTGTTCTAGATCCTAGTGATCCTCTCTATCTACATCTGTCGGATAATCCTAGAGTTATGCTAGTTAATGTGGCTTTTAGTAAAATTGGATATAGATCTTGGAGGCGTGCAGTTTTGCATGGCCTTTCTATTAAAAATAAAACTGGTTTTATTAGTGGAGAGCGTAAGCGTTCAGATCCCCAATCTCCCAGGTTTAAACAGTGGGAACGGTGTGATGATATGGTGACCTCGTGGATTTTAAATTCACTCTCAAAGGAGACAACGGATAGTGTAGAATATGCAAATGATGTTGTTGAATTATGGAGGGAATTGGAGGACCGATATGAACAAACTAATGGTATGAGATTGTATCAAATCCAAAAGGAGATCAATGACCTATCTCAGGGAGTTCTGGACATCACAGGCTACTACACACAATTGAAGAAACTCTAGGAAGAGTTAAGTACTTTGAGTGCAAAAACTCAATGCACTTGCCAGTGTACCTGTGGTGCTAAGGAAGGTATGCACAAGGCCGAACAAGATAAGAGATTAATTCAATTCCTCATGGGGCTCAATGAAGTGTACACTGCAGTGAGAGGTAGCATTCTTATGATGAATCCTCTTCCTTCAATGGCACAAGCCTTCTCTTTGCTCATTCAGGATGAAAAGCAACATTAGATGAGACCTTCAAATCATATGGTTGCAGAGTCAATTTCCCTTCATGCTAATGCTACAGGAAATGCCAACAATTCCAGGAACAATAACTTCAGGACTAACTATACTTCTAATTCCAATTTCCCAAATACAAATAGGTCAAGGCCTTTCTGTGACTACTGCAAACATCCAGAACATACCAAAGACAAGTGTTTCAAACTTCATGGTTATCCCCAGACTTCAAACAACAATCAAAATTTCAAGTACAATAAGAACAAAAGAGTTGTGGCCAATGCACACTCCAACATGTCTGATAAGTCTCTGCCAAGACTGAGGAGTTTGGACCCAAGGATGAAATTCAGAATCTGAATTTGTCCAAGGAACAATACAGCCAATTGATTAACATACTTCAGCATTTCAACACTAGTAGTAGAGGAGAAGGTTCTCAAAACACAAATCATGGAGCTGGATCTGTAAACCTTGCTGCAGGAAACATGAACTTTGCAGGTATAATAACTTGTACATCCTCTATTGATTTTGGCAAGTTATCTTGTAAATATTTCAGAACTTGGACTGATACATGGATTTTAGACTCAGGAGCCTCAAACCACATGACCTTTAATAAAATTACATTAGTTGATATTAGGATTTTACCTTATCCTTTGCTTGTCACTCTCCCAAATGGCTATAAAGTTAAGATAACAAAGATTGGCAGTGTGAATCTTGCTCCCCAAATTACTCTGCACAAAGTCATGTTTGTTCACTTTTTCAAATTTAATCTCATCTCCATATCCTCTTTAACTGCGCAGCTTAAATATTTGATAGCCTTTACTGACACTTGTTGTCTGATGCAGGCCCCTTCAATGAAAAGGCCTCTGGAGATTGTAAAATAGGGATGGTCTGTATCTCTTGCGCTCCCTTTGTTTGAAGAGTGTTAGTACTTGTTCTACATCTGTCTCTTCTTTTCCTATTTCATGTCATGCTTGTGATGTACATAGCTTGATAACTCTAACTAGTATCTGTAATCACAGTCCCTCACAAAATATTTCCTTCTCAAGTGTAAATAATTCCATTTGCAATATATCACATGATTGTGATTCTTTCTTGTCTCATAAGGATGATGTTAATGTGTTATGGCATAATAGATTAGGCCATGTTCCTTTTGAAAAGATGAGAAATATCACCACTATACCTGTTGTCTTTTCTAATAAACAACACTTCCTATATTCTATATGCCTCATGGCCAGACAGTCCAGATTGCCCTATCCTAGCAAAGCCAGCAACACTAAATAAATTTTTGATCTCTTGCAGGTTGATCTGTGGGGACCCTATCATGCCCCCACACATGACAATTATAACTACTTCTTAACCATGGTGGATGATCATAGCAGGTCTACATGGACTCACCTTTTGTCCAGTAAAAGTAATGCCCTGCTGATCCTTACAACCTTCATATCCTTTGTAAAAACTCAGTTTCACTTGACCATTAAATCAGTAAGATCAGACAATGGCTTGGAATTCACAGTACAAAAGTAAATTCTTTCTTTCAAACTAAAGGAATTGTTCATCAGAGAAGTTGTCCATACACACCACAGTAAAATGGTGTAGCTGAAAGAAAATATAGATACCTTCTAGAGACAGCTAGAGCACTTTTATTTCAATCAAAATTACCTATAAAGTATTGGGGTGAATGTATCCTGACAGCCACATATCTTATTAACAGACTACCTACCACATACCTCAACTACAAATGTCCCTTTGAAGTCCTATACAAAAAGAAACTAAATTACTCCAATTTGAGAAGTTTTGGCTGCCTATGTTTCCCCACTATACCAAAGATACACAAGGACAAGTTTGATCCCAAAACTATGCCTCATGTCTTTATTGGATATCCCTTTGAAACTAAAGGATATAAAGTGTTGAACTTGCAGACTGGAAAAATTCACATATCCATAGATGTAACCTTCCATGAAAATATTTTTCCATTTGCTGTGTCACCTATTACAGGTTCTTTTTTTCCAACTTTACCACCTTTCATCTCTGATCTACACACTACCACATCTCAACCTACAACAGGCAATCCACTAAATCCAGGCAACCCTGAAACAGGGCATTATCACTCTTTATCTGATCACTCACCACCTAGTCGCTTTGCACCTGGTTCTCCAGAAACACAATCTCACTCTCCTGAAGCTCTCTCAGAAAATCCTTTTGATTCCCCTTTACAAAGTGAGTCTCCTGTCTTAGAGCCTAGGAGGTCTGGTAAAGAACATAAATTACTTGCACACCTACATGATTACATTTATTCCATACCTCAGTTGAAACCAACTTCTATTCCTCTACCTACTAATCCATCAACCACTCCAACTTCCCTTGATGCCTTATTTTCCTTACATAGTCATATTTCTACTGATTCTTTAGTCCATGATAGTCAGTTGCTTGTTATGAATGTTTGCAATGTTTATGAACCATCTTCATATGAGGAAGTTGCTCTTAATCCTGCTTGGCAAGCATCAATGACACAGGAGTTTGAAGCCCTGCATGCAAATCATACCTGGAACATAATGCCTTTGACAAGTGGGAAGCAGGAAATTGGTTACAGGTGGGTATACAAGATTAAACACATAGCTGATGGAACAGTAGAGAGGTTCAAAGCGAGGTTGGTAGTAAAAGGGTACACCCAACAGGCTAGCATAGATTACACAGAAACCTTCAGTCCTGTGGTGAAGATGACAACAGTGAGAGCTCTTATAGCTATTGCAGTGAAGAAGCAATGGCATATCTTTCAGTTAGATGTGAACAATGCATTCCTTTATGGAGAATTGCATGAGGAAGTTTATATGCAAATACTACCAGGATTGAAAATTAGCTCTGTAGGTTTAGTTTGCAAATTGAATAAATCCTTGTATGGCCTCAAGCAGGCAATCAGACAGTAGTACTCTAAGTTGACTGAGGCTCTTTGCTCAAAAGGCTATGTATGTTCTCTTAATGACTGCTCACTTTTCTACAAGAAAACAGAACATTCTACCATCTATATAGCAGGGTATGTAGATGATGTTATCATCACTGGAACAGATATCTTAGAAATTGCCCAAGTCAAGTGCTTCCTTCAAAATAAAAGATCTGGGGAAACTACACTATTTTCTTGGTTTGGAAGTTCTTTATACCAGTGATGGGGTGATAATATCTCAAAGGAAGTTTGCACTTGATTTACTCAAAGAATATGATTGTCTTTCTTATAGCAGCATGTCTACTCCTCTTGATCCAAATGAAAAACTCCAAGCAAGGAAGGAACACCATTGCCAGATCCTACTTACTATAGAAAGTTGGTAGGCAAGTTAAATTTTCTCATCAATACCAGACTTGACATATCCTTCAGTATGCAATACCTCAACCAGTTCATGCAAGATCTCAGGAAGCCACATTTGAAAGCAGCTTTCCACTTACTTAGGTACCTAAAGAGTGATCCAACTCTAGGAATCTTTCTATCCAATGACCATAATTGCAGTCTAAAGGGTTATTGCGACTCAGATTGGGCTGCTTGTCCAGATTCTAGAAGGTCAGTTACTGGCTACATAGTCCTGCTGGGCAACAGTCCAATTTGTTGGAAGTCCAAGAAGCAAGAAGCAGTGTCCCTAGCTTCAGCAGAAGCAGAATATAGATCCTTGAGAAAAATTGTTGGTGAACTAACTTGGTTATGCAGATTATTGATGAACTCACTATTCCCTATCCTAAGCCTGTTTCAGTGTTTTGTGATAGTCAATCTGCTCTACATATAGCTCGTAATCCTATTTTTCATGAACGAACGAAGCACATCGAGATTGATTGTCACTTTGTACGAGATAAGCTCCAGGAAAAATTGATTTATCTTCATCA